TGAGGTGATAAAAGTTGTGCCTTTGTCGTTGTTGTTAAAAGGACGTAAAAGGCGATGAGCCAAAAAAAAAAAGAATACAACAACAATCGATAAAACTTTCCCATCGGGTGGAAAAATGGATTTCGTTATTTTGATGAGCGCCTGATTTCCCCGCGCTGACACCCATGTACAGTGTAGTTTTCGCGCTGTCTACGGCGTAGTCACACCTCGCTCGCACGTTCCATGTGCCAACTTTCTTTCTACTCATTTGCATTATGACTTTTCTGTTCTTTGCAGTTTCTTTTTTTTTTTTTGTTTCTTAAATTGTTTGTGTGTGCATCCTCCATGTGTTTGCTGTGTGTATGTTCGTAGTATGTGTGTATGTGTGGCATGCTGAATATCTTGACCACGCTGAAAGTAGGTTGGAAAGAACACAACCTAACGATGTGTCATATTTTGGATGTATGTTTGTATCTTTATGCTTGTTCTCTACCTTACTTCCATGGCTATCACATAATGTATAATATTGTTAGGAGTTAATTTTTCTTTTAAAATTGTCTTCAGCAATGTGGAAATGTTCTATATTCAGGAGTTCAAGACCGAGGGCGAGAGTGGTTAGCGGGTGCTCTGGTGTGGTTTGCCTCTTCTTTCCTATCAAACAGCTATTGTTCTTATCTCTCCTCCTTTTTTTGTGTTTGTTTCTCTCTTGTTACACCTCTAATCTTCGGCACTTATATGACCTTAGTGTGTTGCAAGTGCCATAAAACTCTTACTAAAACTAAGTACAGCAATATGGAAATGTTTTATATTCAGGGGTTGAAGGAGGGCCTGGAGCCAGCAAGTAGTGTGTGGCTGATATATTATCTGAGGCATCATGGTGAGATCAGGCGCTCGTCAAAATAATGAAATCGCCATGTTTTTCCTGTATTAATTTTTGATCCGTTTTTATTTTTTGACTCAGTATATTTTATGTCCATTAAAAATACATTACTGAGTAGATTTTACAGGAAAAACGTTGATTAAAGGCACAGAAAATGTCAATTTACAATTTCCAAGGACTCTAAAGCTTTAGAAGTCACCAAACTTTGACGGCCATTTTCTCACTAATTTTACCTCTGAAACAAGGCGACCCCGGCCTCCTTCAATTGCAAATATCTCGACTTCTATTGAAGATAGAAGGGTACTTTTTTAACCAAAAGCAAGACAAATAAACAAGCTTTAAGATAACAACATTAACTCCATATTCCCAAAAATTGACGAGTGCCTGATTCCACCACGTCCTGCAACATATCATTGATCTTTGTTAGAATCATTTCCCTACCTCAGAATTACAACGTCCTGCAACATATCATTGATCTTTGTTAGAATCATTTCACTACCTCAGAATTACAACGTCCTGCAACATATCATTGATTTTTGTTAGAATCATTTCCCTACCTCAGAATTACAACGTCCTGCAACATATCATTGATCTTTGTGAGAATCATTTCCCTACCTCAGAATTACAACGTTTTAAGTTGACATTTTTGGGCCGTTTTGAGTTATTATTAGACCTTGAGATAAAAAATCAACAACCACCAACTGGTCGCTTTAAGCACAAGGGGGCTGTCCCGAAAAATGCTGTTTTCAGAATATCGAAGGTAAACTTTTTGGACCCTCGTTCAGTTTCTTTAAAAGACAAGGAGAGTTTTCTCTATAACCAAACAAACATACACATTAATGAAACCAAACTTCTCCTATAGGTGGGGCAATGCCCACTTTTGGTGTAGGTCAAGATTTCTGGAAACCCCTGAACTCTGGGTTAGCCCGCTTGCCCTTAAAAGCGACCAAATGTGAGGCAGCGTGGTGGAATCAGGCTCTCGTCAAATTTGGGGCATGTAGAGTTATTGGTATCATCTTAAAGCTTGTTCACTTGTCTTTATTTGGTTGAAAAAAAATACCCATTTATCTTGAATACAAGTCGAGATATTTGTGAATGAAGAAGGTGGGGATCACCTGTTTTCAGAGGTCAGATTAGTGAGAAAATGGCCACCAAAGATTAGTTATTTCCTTAAGTTAAGGGTCCGCGGTAACTGAAAATTTACAATTTTTGTGCCTTTAATCAACGTTTTTCTGAAAAATCCACACAGAAATGAGTTCTTTAATGGGCATGAAAGGTGTTGAGCCAAAAAACAAAAATTTGATAAAAATTCACAAACCTACGGAAAAATGCAAGTTTCTTCACTTTGATTATTTTGACGAGAGCCTGATTCCACCACGCTGCCTCGCAAATGTTCTATCTGCTCTATCAAAATCGTAAGTTTATTCAGAGTCGTTACAAAGATATTCAAAGAATTGCATTCGAAAAAGCTTGACATGTTGTGAAATTCGAAATCTTGGACGTCAAATTTCTCAAACCTAGATACTGCACTCAGCAGATAGAACTTTGTAACTCTGAAGTAGCGGTATAAAATGTAATCTTTTGTCTCGCCTAGCTACCTAAATAGGTACTTTTTTATAACTTTTGTCTCACCTAGCTACCTAAATAGGTACTTTCTTATAACTTTTGTCTCGCCTAGCTACCTAAATAGGTACTTTTTTTTATTACTTTTGTCTTGCTTTTTTTTCAACATTTCGAATCTAAATTTCGACAAAATACTTCTTGAGCAATTTAATGCAGCTGATACCATTGATTAAGAATCTGAAATTTTAAAAAATATTTTCAAAAGTTTTGGGCGTAGTATATTTTAATAGCGTAATTTTGTGTGCGCATCAATGTGTTTGCTATGTGTGTAGTATGTGTGTTTGTGTGGATTTTTAGAATTGTGTGTGTGCATCTATGTGTTTGCTATGTGTATGTGTGTATTGCGTGTTCATGAGCGGCTTTTTTAAAATTTTGAGTGTGCATCCATTTGTTTGCTATGTGTATTATGTGTGTAGTGTGTGTGTGTGTGTGTGTGTGTGAACATTCCTAGAGAGCAGGAAATGAGGTAAAAGGAGGCAATTTTAGAGAAGAAAATGTTTTGGTCGCTACCCGAATTCGAACCCGGGACCCTTGAATGAGAGGGAGATGGAGGGAGATGGTGGGAGGTGGAGGGGGGGGGGTCGGGGATCGTCAATAAAATTGTGCCTTTCTTTCTTTCCATTCTTCCTCCGAATGTGTATTTCACTTGCATCAGTTGTGTCCCCGTCACTGGGGCCAATGTGGAGGCGGCTGTGACGTCATGTTTCAAAGACGATTTTGATGAATGATTATTATATAAGTAAGGAGGTAGGGGACTCCTTAACCCTTTGTTGTTCTTTTTTTTTTTGGGGGGGGGGAGTTTGTGTTAGAATGTTTTTAGTTCTCCCTAGCAGTTTTCCCAGTACCTTCACGAATTTGGTACTTCCGTGTTCTTTGAATTTCTTTGGCAATTTGTAGATTTCACTCAGTGTGTTTTTATGTTATATGACGTAATATGTATTTTTCCGTATTTATTTTGTCTTTTGGTTTCTTGATGGTATTTACTTGCTGGATGGAGGG